CGGACGAGGAGCGGCATGTGGGAGGGGGGGGGTTGGTTTTTTGTTTTGGTTTGGTTTTTTTTGTGGGGTAGGAAGGGGTTGTTTATTAGTTAAAATTAAAAATGGCCAAGTTGTAAGAGGTGGGGGGAGATACTAAGAAGTATTTGAGAGACAGTAAACCGCTTGCTAATGTTCTGTAAAAACAGGTATTTATTAGCTTGCTCCAAATAATGCACGAATTTAAACCTATCATTCTTGAAAGCCATTCTTTTAAAAAAAAAAGAAGCACACACAAAAGAAGCATTTCTATTACAAGTTTAAAAACAACCATTTTTCAAGAAATGAAGGCTGGGTAGATAGCAAGAATCCAGAAAAATGCTCCTCAAAATTAGGCAACCGAGTTATGTTTTATGAACAGAAGCATTATGCATTGCCTGTAAACCTGTTCCTCATTCATCTGCAATCTGGCACACACAAGTAGGGCTGAACACCTCAAATAGCTGCTTTGAGTTAACCATTCCAATTAGTTACCAACTGCACTCCTTTAAACTTTGCCAAACAGCAATTCATGTTTGACCTGCTATTACTGCAAGGGTATTTATCCACTTTGTATACATTTTAGAAGTATAGACTGGCTCACCTCTAAAGACAGCAAAGAAGAAGTGCCAATAGCAGGTTATGAGTGTATGCTGGTTTTATTCTTCCTAATCATGCCTTGTTAGTGCTCATGAAAGAGTGAGGATAATCCTACTGGCTAGAAATATCACTTGTCCCTTTTTAAGAGTGATTATAATACCTGCTATTTAAAAACAGCAGGAGAGGGAGGGACAGAAGCAAGTCTCATGTCAGTAGTCCTAAGGAGGATGCATGGGTTACTAAAGGGTACTACAGAAACCAAGTTTGTTTCCTTACATCACCTTCTAGAAGTTAAAGTTCCTATTTAACTCACATTAGTTAGAGGCCAAGTGTCTCGTCTGTACCACACTTCTAGTTCAGCAGGAAGTGAGGTGACTATCTAGTTTCTCCTGTCAAGAACCGAGATGCTAGAAAAAAAAACCACAAGTCTGAAACAGTTTAAACACAGGACAAAAAAGGCACATTTTAATATGTACAGCAATGCATTGGGCTATAAGTTTGCCCGACAACTGGAGGAAAAAAAAAAAAAAATCCAGCATATGCTTTTATACTTGCTCAATGGAGTCAGCCTCATTCCTAGCCACCTACCTTTCTGCATCTCTGAATGCTGCAATATACACACACTTCTCACATGAACAATTAAGTCACGAATGTTCACTTAAGCTCCCATGTTCAAGTAATAAAGTTCAAACTTGCATAGCATCTTATGCCACTCAGCCATAAACAGTTAAGATTGCATATTAGCTGGAGTAGCCATCTCTTTCAGTTCAGCCAGTTTTGGCTGGCCACCATTTATCCTCGAGACAGACTGTTTCCTAGAAGTTACCAGCCCTAAAGGATGCCACAAACTTAAAAACAAAAAAAAACCCCCCGATTTTTCCCCTCCCCCCAGCACTATTTGGATACCTTTAAACCAGAAATGTAGAGTGTTGTCAAGAACAGTTTTAAAAATGTAATACTGTTTATTTTTTGCTTCAAAAACATTTCAGCATTCTAAACATACAAAAAAAACCAACAGAACGTTGCAAGTTTGCTTAAGTACAGAGTGTTTTTGAACTTCAATTGCTGCACTTGCTCTTCACTTCGTTGACAATGAAGAGAGGTCTACAGTTTCAGTTTAAAAACTACCGCACTTAACTAAAAAAATCCATACACTTCTCATGCCAGCTGAACCCCCTTCCACAACTAAGAATGGCAGCAGAATGCTATTTCACTATATACAGAAAGACAACTTTAAGCTAAATGGACGCCCACTGTAGTGTAAATAGATCTACCCTCACAGTGCATGCTTCGGGCCATGGCACCCTGTGGAAGGGGACAGCCTTCCAAAGTAAAAATCACTGCTCCCTAAGGCATCATAGCTCTAAGCATGTACCACAAGAATTTGTCTAGTTTTTACAAACTATAGATATGTACAGTTTATAACCCAGGATTTTCTAGCCAATAACCATATAGTAACACCACCTTACAAATTAAAAAAATGCTTGAAACATTTTTAAATGCTTTGTTACACCAACAGCAAAGTGCACAGAGTGAGGAGAACACTAGAGCGCCTTTTCATTTTAAAAATGTTTGGAAATATGTACAACTTTGATACAGTTTCAGGGTGCTCACCAACACCCATGGCCACTTCATGTAAACCAGTTACAATTTCTAGAGCACTTTTAGAAACTACAATGCGATCAGAATCCAAATTTTGTAATTAAGCCTAATGAGGGCAACAGACACCAGCTCAAGTGAGAGGTGCTGCATTTATGGTGTTTCCCCTACTCTATGGTATTCACATGGAGACAAGTATTGTACAGTTTTATTCATCATCGTCTTCTTCATCCTCCTCCTCTTCATCCTCCTCCTCCTCCTCGTCTTCTTCCTCTACCTTTTTCCGAGCAGCTTTGGCTGCCGCGCCCTTTGCACCATCAAACTTTCCTTTAGACTTGTAGTCTGCAACATCCTGCAAAGTCAAGAGGATGTCTTCATTGGCTCCAAGCAGTATGCGTATAAAGCATTTCTATACCCAGACTTAGCCTACAGAAGTACCGACTCTCCAAACCAACCTCCCTCAAGGGAGAGGCAGCTGGCGTAACAGCATGAGCTTGCAGGCCCCAAAGTAGACTGGATAGTGTTTGCATCTCGTGCTCATAGCTTTTTAGGGTTTCTTAAAAAGAGCCAGCAAGAAATTTGCTCTTGCAAGTTAATGGGCATTAAGATATTTAAGTCACTTTAATAGCACTATAAAGTCACTTCTTCAGCAGAGTCAGCAGCCAGTGCTTCACATTATACAGCTACCCACTACATATTCCAGGGAGGAGGAGACTGGACCTGCCTGAAGCTTTCCAGAGGAGAAGCTCCATCATGAGGTCTGATACACCAGTTAGATGGCCACAGAAGTGTACTATACAGCACAGAGCCCACACGCTAGGTCTAGCTCCAACAACCTCTTGTTACCGCACAATTCTTAACAGTCTTTTTGGTTAGGACAAGAAAAAAGTATTTATTCCCCACATCAGTTCTCATTTTAAAGAGACACGTGACTTACAGCCTAGCCTTACCTTTTCATACTTCTCCTTCAGTTTAGCTGCCTTATTATTGTAAGGCTGCTTTTCACCATCACTGAGGTTGTTCCACATTTCACCAAGCTTCTTTGCTACATCCCCAATAGAAATGCCTGGATTTGTAGATTTGATCTTGGGACGGAATTCTGAACAGAAGAGGAAGAAGCCAGACCTTGGAGGAAAGAAGTTGAACATTAAAATGAGCAGCTGATTTAAAAAAAAGGGGAGATCACAACTGGGACAGAAAGACAGAAGAGACTTCCAGCCTTTTTAATTAGCATTCCACCTAAATGATTCACAAGGATTTTTTTCTTGGGGATGTTTTTCAAACATTTGGGTCTACTCATGAAGAGGCCTGGAAAAGCATTTTTTAAAGCAAGGAGTCGGGGGGGGGAGAGGGGGGAAAAGAGAAAGAGAAAGTTGTTTAAAAAGATTTCCACACAAGAGAGACTGAAAATGGCGAATTTTAGAATACTTTGTGCCTCACAGGAATACTTTCATATATTTTCCAACTTCATTATTAAGCGCACCACCACCCTAAAGGAAGTTTCACAACCATCCATCTAGCTACACTAGTTCTACACAAGGTGGAGGACTTCAACTGCCAGAAGTTACATATAGATATGAAACATCATGAAGTCCATTCAAAGTTTTGGGGAATAAAAAGAGATTGCACATACAAGTTTACATCTCCTAGGTAAACAGCTAACTCACAATGGCTAATCTTTGGAGGAAAGACAAGTGCAGCAAAACTACTTACGGTGGTCGTTTGGGTGCATTTGGGTCCTTCTTCTTCTTGCCACCCTTAGCTGGTCCATAATCCTTCATTTCCCTATCATATCGTACCTTGTCAGCTTTTGCCATTTCATCAAATTTGGCCTTCTCTTTGCTTGACATGGTCTGAAAGAAGAAACACTGGATTAGTTAGGCACCCAAGCAGCTGGAGAGTTACCTCAGACAGTATTCCCCAACCAGACAGATTCCCCTGGATGGAGGCCATTTATCAAGGATCTGTTTCTGGTTGAAGCAGCTATTGAGAGAGTGACCAAAATGGGCACAGGTGTTGCTAAAATACATGGGGTGGTGACCTTCTGTTAGAGCCAGGCTGAAAAAGTAGGAAGCACACACCATAGGTTTCCAGTACTTCTTTTTTCCAAGTTGTCATGGGGGGGGGGGGGGGGG